TTGGCTGTTGATAAACACAAATAGTTCTTATGATGCCAGCGGTCTGCACTGGGGCTGTTCTTGTTCAGCATCTTCATCAGTGACCTGAGTGGAGGAGTAGAGTCTGCCTTCAGAAGTTTACTGGTGGTGTGATCCTGGGAAGAGTGGCTGATGCAACAGAAGGCTATGCTGATATTCAGAGAGACTGGACAAGCTGGAGAACTGGGGCAGATGGAACTGGATGAGATGGTTTGCACCCTCACCAGCAATGACATCTGTGTTCACGCATGCCCAGTGTGACTTGTAGTCAGGAATTCAGATGTAATAACCCTAACTCTGTCCACAGCTGGCCTAAACTTTTTAAATGAACGAAAGCAGTGAAAAGGAAAAGTACAGTTTTAAGTTGGATTCTTTCATTTGTGTGTGAGCTAATGTCAATGCTTTCTTGTGCTGGAAGTAGTTACTTGGTAAAAGTGCTTTGATTCTAAATTGACCCGAATGATTACAAATACATAGTTTTACATTACTGAAAGCTCACTCGAACTAATCATTCAACAAAATGCAGGTGTTACAGGTTACTACTGGTGTTGCACTTGTGTTACTTTCTCAGCCCTGCTTAAAAGTCTTTTGTGTTGGCTTCTTCACACAGTAGCAGTGTTAGTGGGGTGGTGTTGTTTAGAGCAGCTTACAGGTTTGGTGGTATTTTGTGGACTGTTAAGTTTTCAGAAGCATTGCTTGTTGTCTGGAGACATTCCTTCTGATTCAGGTATACATTCCTAGTGCTCCCTATGAACTTTCATGTGCTCTTTCTTCTGTCTTTTTGGTGCAGGTACTGGAGCTCTTAATGTGTTTCTTGGTAGAAAGAATGTGCCTGTACTAATGAGTGTCCTGTTCAGCCATCCAGAATTGCTCACTCATTACCTTCCTGAAACAGACAAGTCTGGCTGTTTTTCTTCTTGCCGAAAGCTTCTGCAGATTATTTTCTTTAGCATTAATCACAAGGATTAGTCTTTTTGGTTACATCCCATGTATCCTTTTGATATCCGTCTTCTGTCCCTTTCATTGCCTTCTCTCTTGCCTTTGAGGCCAAGGTGTAACAGTACTGCTTGTTTTCTGATCTGCGTCAGAATGATTGCCAGAATATTTTCCTTCTAATAATTTTGCCTTTGAGGGGCTGTGCAGTAAGCTGTCGTTGTGTAGTGACTACTCTTCTTGCTCTCAACATTGACCATGTTCAACCTAACAGTCACAGTCTGTTTTCAGAAACTTAATTCTGTGTTCTCCTGGAGCTGTGAGGGATTTTGATTAATAATGTATCCCAAGATCTTCGTACTGTGCATAAATCCAAAGGTTCTCTGCCATTAGTTTCCTCTTACGCTGAGTGAATTTTCTGTTGGAGCAATTTGCTGTTCCAGTTCTTGCTGCAATTTTTTTAATGATATAATGGAAGAAAGGACAGAAGTGAATAGATGTGCTACTGAGAAGGGCTCTTGGAGGAGAAATGCTGCTTTGTGGTGCTTCAAAATAAGTGAAACTGCTGCACTTGTTTGTACAAACTCTCCAAGCAGTCCCTACTTGTGGACACAGGGTAACCATCACAGTACAAGTAACAATGCACTTACGTATTTTTGAAGGACATTTTTTTTTAGTCCTGTTTTTAAAGCAAAACTGACTCAGATTACGTCAGGACTATTGCACTTCCATGAGCCTTCAAATAATCCGTACTTTTTCTGTATTTAAGGTATTTAGGGATATTCCTTAGGCACTTACCCTTGCTAAGTAGCTTTTGTTGGTGGTGCGTAGTCAAAGTAGGTAGTGCGTTACAGACCAGATGTTACAAGAAATTACAAGCGGAGGCTAAGTAAAATTCTGGTTTGATCTTCATATTTGAAGATACAGAGGACATTGTTCTTGTCTGTGTGTTCTTGTTCTGCTGCTTGATGTCATGAAACCTACGTCTGTGTTGTGCTTATCCAAACAGCGGCATGTGATGCCTCACTTCCACTTCACTATCTGTACTCAAAGGGAAGAGGCATATTCTGGAAGTCTTCTGCTGTTCTTCATGAGCTTGGATGGGGTCTATGAAGTATTGTGTCACTTGTGAGGTATTAATCTCATGGTGCAGTTTTAGTTGCTTCTGATAAGTAGTAACCTGCTTGAGAAGGCGAGGCAGGTGTTTGATGTGTAGTGTCTGGTCACTTAGATTCAAGGTGCTGATTTTCTGTGATTACCTTTATTTCGTAAAACCATTTGAAAGTATGTAGCTTAATTGGAACAGCTATGCAGTGATTTTTGTTGTGGTATTTCTAAGTAGTGACTTAAGCGTATAACTAAGAAGTAACTCAGTTAAGTAGTTAAGGAGTAACTTGAGTGTATAAAGCCCATATGAAGTGATTTCCCCTTGATTACAAAATGCACAGGAGTGGATGAGAAAATTAATAAAAAGAGATAGTAGAGGATCTCCACCTGTTAGTATGATGCACTGAAGGCTTCTCTACTGTGTGCACCTGAGGTGATAACAGCAGTCTCTGTTTCTTTTTTCACTTCACCTTTGTTGTCAGAGCTGCCAGGTTGCAGCCTTAGCTGCTGTTTCCTGCTGAGTATAAGCAATTGAACATGTTCCATATCAAAATACCTATTTTTCAGGGGAAAGGAGGAGCAGACCATTGAATATTGCATTGCTGATCTTCATGTGCTTTAATTTTCTGAAGCCTTGCTTTAGTTTTCTAAAGCCTTGTTTAAAAACAAAAACTATGATTTGAACTGTCCCATGGCAAATCGTACTAATTTCTTAAACTGTTCTTTAACTCCTGTTGTTTAAATTAAAAAAAAACAAAAAAAACCCTCAGAAAAGAACTACTTCCTTTCCTGCCATGCAGGCAATTCTCATGAATTAAATATCAGCTGACTAAAATTAGCTAATTAGAAACAGAGATTCAGTTAATGCTGCAGTTTTTAAGGCTATTTGAATTTAAAACTGTGCTTGATAAATAAAAAGTGAATTTAGTTAAAGATGCACGATGCAATGCAGTGTGTTATTGAAGGGAACCAATCACTGTTTGCTGGACTGCACAACTTTCTTTGGTTCCTCTTTTAGGACTGAAGAGAAACAGCGGAACTCCTTTTCCAGCTTACTTATGATAAATCTCAGTATATTAGACAACCTTGCATTTCTTTAATAGTGTACTGATTTTTCCTAGTTATTGAATGCAGTGACTGCCAAGCTGTTGAAGCCATCTGAAGTAATATTCTGAAGGTAGTAATGTCAAAACTGTTGCCATATGTAGTCCACTAGCTGAGGCTTTCTTTAACTTGGGAATGCTACCATTTTAATCTTCTAGTAGTGCTGTTTAGTTTGGAAATATTTTTTGAAAAAAATCATGGCATTCTTTGGCAAAGTTGGCCATATTCCTTATTTTTCAGGTCAGGTGGAAATTGTATTGAAAGGGTAAGAATTGTTTTTTCCAAATGAGATGTAAAAAGACTCTTTAACTGTGAAGCTGTGAAACAGTGTTACGCGTGCTGGAAGAACTTGAAATGAGGTACTTTGATTTTTGATAAGTGTGATTCTGCTAGGAGCTCAGTGGTGCCTGCAGTGAATGCACCTTAAGTACGCATGGATAATAGGAATTTTCATTCTAGCTGTGGTGTGCAGGAAGCAAATACCAGTTACTGCTGCTTTGCTGGGACATGCAGCGGTAGGTCAGGTTCATGGATCTGACACTTTAATGCAGTTTCTTTAATAAAACCTGTATAGACATAACAGACCTCCTCTAGTAAGCAGTTTATTGAACATACTTGGGTACCAAGGAGTGCTTGAGAAATGCATGTCTGTGCATTGTTCTTGGTTTGAGGCCATTGAGAATGCGGCTGATAACAAAAAGTCTTTTTGCGTGAACAGTTACAGTAATGATTAAAAGTCTTGATATCAACCTAAATTAAAAAATAAAGGCTCAATGTAAAGCCAGATAACCGCAAAGTTTTTGGTAACAAACTAATGAGAGGACAAGTTTTTCAAGTGTTTAATAAAAACAAATCTGATAAATGTGTTTGTATAACCTGGATGTGGCATTCTTGTAAAAGCTGACTTTTTAGATCAAGTTAGATTTACTGTATATGTTTCTTCATCTGCTAACCACGGGTTTAGAAGGGTTAGAATTTACACTGGCCTCAAACCATGGCAATACTCTTCCTATTTCTGCAAAGTATTGTGGCTGTGTTTAAGATCTGGAAAAGCTGTAATTAGCTGCAAATGGTCCATTAGCTTTTGTGATATCTTCCTAGCAGTGTTCAGTTAAAATCCACCTAGATTTGTGGTAGTTTTTTCTAAAGAAAATAAAATGCCATCGTTAAATGGTACTGATTATTTTCTCTGGGTATTCCACTTGAGAAACTCTCAAATCTCCTGCAACTTGCATATCTGCGGATGCTCCTTCTTGGAGTACCTATTGTAGGAACCTTTCTGAAGGGCTTCTGTGCAAAATTTTGATTTTTAAAACCTAGGATTTTGCTTATGGACTAGATCCTTGCCAAGTAGCATGTTCTGTGTTTCTGTGGACTGGGGAAGGAATACAAGGGGAGATGTTCTTCAGTGGTACACCTTCCATGCTGATTGAAAATTGTCTTTCCTGTTCTGTTTTGGAGACTCCGAGATGTGTGGGGGGAGAAATACACCACAAAAAAAAAAAAAAAAAAAAAAAAAAAAAAAAAACAACCAAAACCCCCAGCTGTGATGTGTTAAGGTGCCTTCTGGGTGGAGTGGTTTTTATGGTAGTTTCCAGGGTAGATGTGGAGGTAATGATCTTTTAAATCTTCCCTTAAAAATAATCATCCTAATTCATGCAAGAAAAATAACAGATTTGGAAAGATTAGATTGGAATTGCCTCAAATTCAATTAAGCCACACTGCGTGGACGTGCTGGGAATATAAATGCAATTGCTGTAAATTTGTACAAACTGATTTGTTGCATTATCTTGCTAATCTAACATACAGTCCTTTTGTGTCCATATTGCAGACGGCAACTCCAAACTAACATGGCAGTCAGACTGTGTGATGTGGCTTCTCTGCTTAGAAGTGGTTCGTGGGCAGCAGAGCCTTGGACTGGGGTCTGTGGGATTTTTCTTAAATTCTGTAGGCTACATTTTTTGTTAATAGTGCTGAGGCCATACCAAACTCCAATCTCATTTGGAACGCTAACGCTGTTCTGTGTTTCATTCTAGGCTGTAGGCTGTGTCTCTATTCTGTCAGGGTCTAGAGTACACTGGTGTACCATGACAACTTACCTGTTATATGGTGATCTCCTGTAGAAATTATACTGCAGTGGTTTGCCTTTCTTATAATGAGATTTTAGTGATAATTCAAAATATCTGGTGGATAATTGAAGAGTGTAGTTTGCATTAATATTGTTTTGGTATGGTCTGAATACTAAGTTGCAGTAACTTTGAAAACCTGTATGCTATGTATTTATGATCACTATTTTTAAAGTGTTTAAAAATTTTATTCTAATAAATTGTTAAAATTTTTAACTTTATTTTGGGTCTGTTTGGCTAGAAAATACTTAGTAACTTCTGAAGATGTGGCTTGTGTTTTATGAACAGTTGTATCCAACCTATCAATGGAATATGCATTAATTGTAAAACATTAGTATCACTTCCATCAGAGCAGATGGTTCTATAGCTGGGAAGTGCTGTAATTTCAGCACACAGAGGCTACTGCAGCTGTTCATTTGAATGTTGGCTTAAGATAGCATTTTTTGCCACCTGAACGTGAAAATAAATGTGCAATTAAGTGAGGACGTCTTGTCCTTGCTCACTCCTAATTTTTGGTTAGTGTACACTTAAAATTTGATTGGAGGGGGAGTAAAGAAGCAGCCATAGTAGCAGTATGAAAAGAAAGCATTGGTGGCTATCAGCTCTGCTAAATACACTGGAGTTCTGGAAAAACAGTTTATCTTTGAATCATCTACGTTCTCATCTCTTCAGCAGACTTTTCCTCACAATGCCAGTAGTAGTTTGTCCCCTCCCTGGTGGTTAATCATGAGGGAATAAAATGCTTCTGGTCCAGTGGTAGCTCCTTAGGAAAAAGAATGTGTTTCTACGTTAAATGTTCTGAATAGATGGATCTTCCTTTTCTTTCTGTGTGCTGAAGTAACTTCTTGGAAAATACGCTTGTATGCAGAACAGAAATATCTTCTTGGGAATGTCTGAAATTCATTCAGACACTCGTCATCTCCTTTGATACTTCCACTGAACTAAGATTTGCCTTCCCTGACCTAGCCAGGTCTTTAGGTATGCACTGATTGGATAATACTGCTTAGAAGAGAGTTAGGACAAATTCCAACCTCATGCTACTCTACAACTTTGCAAAATGTTTTCCTGTGTCAGAACTCCTCCTAGAAATCTTAGTATTATATTGGATTTCAGTGATTACTGAATGTTCAGTGAAATGTCATGAGTGTTGCTTCTTTGTTAAATGATCTGTTAACAGATAACTTCTATAGAGTTTTCTGCTGACAGCTGTCCTCAGTAGGCTACCTAAGCCTTCTTTATTAGACTGCCACTTAAAAAACATGCTCTTTACCAACTATGAATAGTGGATGATTGTCAGAGAGGCAGAAAGTCTTTGTGGATCATTTCTGCCTATCACAGCAACTAGTCACTTGGAGGTGGAATACAGAGTTTCTAAAGTAGCAATTGCTCAATTATTTGATAATTAAAAGTAGATTGAATTAAAGTATCAAACAACTGTTTTTAGGGGACAGAGGAAAGGAGTAGTGAGAACCCTAAGTTATCAACTTAGTCAGAACAGATTTGGAAACCTACTTCCAGCCTGTGGTGGCAGAATAATGATGTAGAAGTTACAAAGGAGAGTTTGTTTTCCATTTCAGCACATTCATTTACATCTCTAGGAATTTCCTTCAAATTATTAATCTTTCTAGTGCTCTTAGACGTAGGGTCAATATACAGTTATATACCCACCTATCTTGAAAACAACACCTCCAAATAATTCAAAACAAAACAAATACATTAAGGACTACATACCTCACTTGTCACTTGCAAGTTGATAGCATCGATGGCTCTTGAAAAAGGACAGTTCTTGGTTATTTCTGTACTAGGAAGTCTGTGATGCCCTTAATGAATTGCAGGATGGGACTAAGCTTTTGGTATTGTACGTCTTGATTTTAATGATGACTTAATTTGCCTGTAGGTTTGAAACTGTTAATCAGGGCAGCACTTAAAAATCTTCAGTAGTGCTTTTGCATGTGGAAGCATTATCTGGCTGTGACAGCGCCACTTGTGCATAGTAGCGGTTCTTATAGATTCTTGTCTGGATTCTCTGTGAGAGTGTAAAATACGAATTTTGATGTTTCTTATTTTCTATGTTTTTAGCAGGTAATTGCTGCCATGGAAACACAACTGTCTAATGGACCAACTTGCAATAACACAGCCCATGGTTCAAACACTATAAACAATTGCTCTTCACCGATTGATTCTGGAAACACTGAAGACAGCAAGACTAATCTAATAGTCAACTACCTTCCACAGAGCATGACACAAGAAGAGCTGAAGAGTTTGTTTGGCAGCATTGGTGAGATAGAGTCTTGCAAGCTTGTCAGGGACAAAATAACAGGTATGTTGGTTTCATCTTTTCACTTTCCCATAATCTGCGCTGTCAGATGATGGCTTGTAATTCTATTCATTTGCGGAATAAATTCAGGAAAACCAATGCAGACATTGTTGGTCTGAAGGATCTAGTCTATCATCTAGATTCCAAACAGAAAAAATAAATGCTTGTATTTCATCCAGTTTTGTATGTGAGTACTATAATTGCTTTAAAATCTTCTGTGCTTTCTGATTCTTTGGAATGAAGTTTTTTAGATAATGGCTTTAAATTGGAAGAGAGCAGATTGAGACTAGATAATGGAAATTCTTTACTGTGAGGGTGGTGAGGCACTGGAACAGGTTGCTCAAAAAGGTTGTGAATATCCATTCCCTGGCTGCCTTCGAGGCCAGGCTGGATGGGGCTGTGAGCAACCTGATTTAGGGGAAAGTATCCTTGCCTGTAGTAGGGGGTTGGAACTAGGTGGTCTTAAATGTCCCTTCCAGCCCAAACCTTTCTGTGATACTGGAAAGCACATAAAAACTCAAGTAAGCCTTATATAATTATTCTGCTCTATTATTAGAGTTGTGCCTGGTAGCTATAGCTGATTCAAAACTTCTTTTTTGAAAGATGTAGGGATTTAACCTTCTACCTTGGGAGAAGAGTGGACTAATTAATTTAGCTTTTGTGTTGCAGCATTTAAACCAATTTCTTTAGGGTATGCTCTTGAATTGACATGTGCAGTCTTAGAATATGCAAACATGAAGAGCACAGTGATGCTGTCGATTAGTATTTCATTTTACCAACAGCTGGTGCTCAGAGTGCATGCGTTTAGACCAGTTGTTTAATTTTGAAAGAACTACCAGATGGATGCCTGCACTTTAATAACCAAATGAAAGGATCATTGGCAGTGTTCAGTTTGTCTCATTTCCATTTGTGAACTCCAAGCTCTGTCAAATTAAAAAACATTGATGTACGGTTTATGTTGACATTTAATTATTTTTGTTGAGAAAAATTGACTTTGGCACTCTATTTTCTGGCTTTTTTTTTTTTTTTGCAGAGCTGTCCAATACCTAGCTTTCAAAAACATACCTGAACTTCTTAGATGCAGCTCTAGAGTATATTGTGCTTAAAGCTATTCCTTATTTGGTTTGGGTGACTGAAACTATCTCTACTGGAAGATAGTGGCGGAGCATTAACATTTCCCCCACATGTGACTTGTGACTGAGTGTTCCCAGGGCAGCAGTGGTAGGAAGAGGCTTTAGGTGATAAAGGTTGTGTGTAGCTTCAATCAGTTCTTTCGTGTGCATGTTGATACCTTGGGTGTGCTTGGAGATGTGTTCCCCAAATGCGTACATGACTTGTGGTGACCAAGGCTAAAACCTGGCAGCTCTGACACTGACACTAGGACTTGTCTTTGGCACGAATGAAAGGTTTCTTCTTGTCCTTATTGTCTACTTCCTCTTTTAGCAATATAGAAATTCTCCAGCTTTTCCCCCATTGGTATGGGTAAAAGTTGTGTTGCTGGTGGAAAGGTGATGCTTAAGCGGGGCTCCGACAGCAAACAACTTTTTGCCTTGCCTGTGCTGCAGTAAGAAGAATTTGTCCTGGGCCCTATAAAATAATATAATAATATTGTAATAATATAATTCCATTAAAGCATTAAAAAGCAAAAACAACCCCCCCCCCTCAAAAAAAAAAAAAACCAACACCATGAAACGTGGGGTGTGAATACTCCTTAGTGTTTAGTTCACTTACACTTGTATCTGCCAGGGATGAGTGGAGCGAGCTAAGGTGAAGTTCTCCTATGTTTTGTCTAGTGTGCTGCTCAGACAGTACTGAAGACTGGCTGTAGCTACAGGCCTCTGGATATCACAAAATACTTTTAATCTGCAATCCTCATAGTCTGCTAACATGCAGTGAGTGAAAATATTCGTATGACACTTATATTACTTCTAAATAACTCCCATTGCTTTTTGAGAATGCTTTTTGTAATTGTTTGTTACACATTGGAGATAACACTTGTAACAGGATCCAAAAAGTTGTGGTATGAGAATGAGTTGTGAAATAAAGGGGTGTTCTTGGCTTTAGCTACTCTTGAATGTAGGTAATTCCACAGTGTTCCTAACCATAGATGGTTTTGTTGATAAGATACACTTCTTTGTCATGAGGTAGATTCTCAAACTTCTTGAAATAAGTGTTCTTGGCCTAGAGATATGTTGTATTTCGAAGATGGCAAAACTGGGATTTTGTTGAAGTCATGTTTTTCTTCTGCTGACTACATTACACATAGTTTATATACATACAAATATGGAAGTAAATTTCCCACAAAGAAGGCTCTTCCTGAAGAGCCTGGCTTTTTAAAAAAAACTGCAAGAGTGGATCCATGTTGGTGAATTCACTAGGCTTTGTACTCATGGTGATCCTTTTCAGTTGGCATTTGACAATTGAGCCTTCCTAAGGCAGGTACCATTCAGTGGCACAAAATGGATCAAGCTGAGAGGCTGCTCAGAGCCCTGCACTTGCTTTCTTGCTAGACAGTCTAACTAGATTTTGTGCGTTTGAATTAGGATAGTCTTTCTACCCTTTGGATCTTAATGATCAGCACTAATCCATAGCAGATGACTTGCTCTTAAGTCAGTGTAGCATAATTATTAAATTAGAGATTCTAGTGTTATGGGTCAAGTTACAGAAATTACTTTCAGTCCTACTTATTTGACTTTGCTATCAAACTGCGCGCCAGACTCTTCACTATGGTGATCACCAGAAGTCCTTGGGATGTCAAAGAAACAGAGCTGATGACAAAGAAAGGTGAGCTGATGAGACACCTTTCCATCTTCAGCTGAAGGCTCATTGGTGCAAAAAGCAAACTGATCTTCTCTGTGGGTACTGACTTCAGTTCCTCCAAACAAAACGCTCCTTTTCTTAGTTCCCTGACTTTTTGTTCTCAAAGTAGAAGGATATAGGTGGTATTTCACCTTTTTATGGGATGGTCTTTCAAGCTGTTTATCCATCTTGCAGTTGGGAGTTCACGTTTAGCATTCTTCATTAAAGTTGCTTAGGGATTAGTGCTTGTCCCAATTGTGAGGCTGCTGCAGTCTAACAGAAATGAGCCTTTGGGTCTTACAGGTGGATGTGCAAATAATCCTTTCTTAAGTGATGGCTTTGATGCTTTCTGTGCTAGAAGCTCACAGTGTTGCTACTTAGTATCAGATGACTCTTTGCCTGGGAATAGAACAGGGAAACTTAATTGCAGGCTTTGTTTGAAAGCCTGATGCCTTTTGTGTAGCGCAAAGTGGCATGAAGGACCTTTAATTTAAATGTAATCTGCAGTTGAGGGCTAAATGAGCTGAAGACAGTTGTTTGGATCTGTTTGGAGAAAGAGGGATCATATTTGCCTTTATCTGAGGGCAGCTCCTCTGCTTGGAAGAATATACTTAGCTGTGAGCATAAACGTGACATTAGTCTTGTTCCAAAAGTTGTTTGTTACAGATGAGAAACTGTATTTCTAACCTGCATAGGAAGAAGTACTTCTGATTTAAGCAGTATAGTAAGATAATCTTGTGTTAGTGGATGCTTGGTTGAGAACACTGTTCTCATTCACCTTCAGGTTTAATACAGAATGCTTAGAGCGAATTTTCCATTTGTTTCTTCAATTCAGATCAGAGATTATTAGGAAGAGTCTTCTCATGGATTTCAGAATTACTCTAATTCTTGTATTTAAACAGTTGATCGTAAATGAGCTGCCACGAGTGCAAAATACTTGGTGAGTACCTTAAGTTGATGAGAGGTTTGTAAGTATAGAAATCTAAATGCACTTTCATACAAACTGAACAGCAAGTGAGAATTGATGAAGGAGCAAAACACTGATTCTGCCTTCAGCTGTCTAATGCAGGTTGGTCCAACATCAGTATTGGATGCTTACTCTGCTCGGGAAGTGAAACTTGGCACGTTGTGTGCTGGAACTGAGATCTGTTTTCCAAGCCAATAAGACAACTCCAGTATAGGAATACTAAGAAATTTTGTACTTATAAATGGGTAAGCAGTACAAACACAGTTGTCACAGCTTTCCACAGCAATGAATCATTAACTAACAAAGAAAACAAGAAATGCGAATCTCTCTCTATGCATTGGCAGATAATATCAGTATCAAACATACCTCCCTGCTGTGATCTGCTAGTATCTTTTAATACAACAATGAACTATGAAGTTTGCTCTGTATTCCATTTTATCTAGAGGTTTTGCTTGTGAAGGAGAAAGCTGGCATGCAGAAGCTTGCTGCTCATCATATTCAAGCATGCAGTTCACATGCACAACTTGGTATGCTGGGTCACCATTCTTTAGTGCTGTGAAATGTTGGTGTTGTCATATTAGCTAAGCATGTAGAGTGTTTGAAACAAGAGGTAAGCCACCTGGCAACTGATCTACTTACCTGTTTTTCTGTAAGTAAAGAAATTAAAACATGATATTACCAAAGATTATGAAGTCTCCATGTAGGGACTGCCATTAACAAGACACCATTTGACAAATGAGACATCAGCCTCACTTAGCTTGCTGATGAAAGAATCTGTCTGGAATGAGTTATTGTGCCCATATATTTAGGGATCATTGTTAACTCACAGATCCCTTTGACTAATGTGGATGTTTGTAAGTTACTCCAAAAATACCTCCCATTTATTTCCATGGGAACTACAGCAGATGAGTACAATAATGTGGTTTGATAGAGCAAATTCTCAGGCACCAGACATCATTTTTCAGACTAGTCGCTACCGTTAGCTATGCATTTTCACCACTGATGAGCAGTAGCCCACATGCCATGCTTTTGAAGAAATCTGCAGCACTGGAGGTGACCCATTGTTCACACTGCTGAAGCACACTACCCACCTCCTCACCATGCTCACATCAACTGGTTGGTCTTCAGCAAGCATCTACAAATGACATTGTGCACCATTTGTTCCACATGAAGACATTCAGTCCCATACCTTTATCCACTCTCGTATGTCAGATGCTGTTCTGTCAGACTGCCCCTC